GCATTTGTGATTCCTACAGATGGGATTCTTTGCAGCAGCTGGACCTGTTCAAATTTTTGTTTCAAACCATGTAAGTATTTTTCCCTTTTTAATAAGGTTTCTACTCCAAGAGGATCGCTATATTCACCTTGTGACAAGCATTTTCATTTTTCCATTCAAATCTATGCCCTCTGTGAGATGTCAATTTGCTTGGTAGTAATGCATTTTCTTTTTTTGTTTATTGCTTATGTTGTGGCTATTGTTGATGAAAACTTGAATTTTCTGTACCTTGATGAAATTTCCAGGGTCTAAGGATTTAGTGTTTTCATAAAGCACACCTATGTCCAACAAGAAAAATAGAACTCCTTTGACTGAATTAACTACTGTGTTTAGCAATTGATGTATGGTGAAGCTTACTAATGAGGAACTTAGGAACTCCACTTTCACACACTTAACAAGCTACATAAAAAGCAAGACACTAATACAAAATACAAAGAAACATAAATTTGATAAATTAAATAAGTTCTTTATCTAATGCAACAAAACAGCATATTACTCACAAGAAACTTATCACATAAATTAAACATAATTCTTTAGGGTTGGACCAATCTCTATAGAAAATGTTCCAAGATTCATTTTTTGCAGGGTGGATTACAAAATTGGGTGTCTTTAATTGCTTGTACTTTATGTCCTTGACATGTGATTAACTGATTATGCCATATATGTCTTCTGCATCTCTATTGATAATGGTTTTTGTTTTGGTAGTTGATTACGGATGATAGGGAGTTTCAATCTGGAGATATTCCCAATTATACTACTTCAGATGGATCAGTATGGTTTAGCCAGATAAAAAAGTTAAAGAGCAAAACCTGAGAAACATGAGAGTCTGCAAATTGGCGTCCAGAGGTACTTGGGGTGTCATCATCAGTAGCATCTTTACCCTTGGTTCGCCTTTGCATTTGCAAGGCTTATTTCTGCAGAAATTTGACATGAAAAATAGATTAAACGGTTAACAAAATGTCAATGCTCTTGGAATCAAATCAAATCAAAAGCAGATGAAGAAAACTTTTACCAGTCTGGATATCAGTATCGTTTCCCTCAAATATTTGATTGTGAAAGTGAGGAGGACTGACACTTTCATAATGCCCATACTTGCTTTCATCTTTCACCCAGTCACTTGTGTAGCACTGAAGCAGTTCCTTCAAATGAGGCCACTGCTCCAAATTTTAATCGAGCTGCTACCCAAAAAATACCAAAAAAAAAAAGGAGAAGAAATTAATGGCAAATCATTTTAGACTTTCTACAGGAAGCGAAGCACAGTATTCTCAAAACTGATTCTCAGGCCAGGTGATTTCAGCCTGTAGATGGGTACAAGCTGAAACTAAAAATTTGTAGCTTTTGAAGAACCTAAATTTGGTAAATTAATTTTTCTGAAATTATTGCACATAATTCGACGAATCAAACAGCATTTTAAGGGAAAACACAGAAGAGAGTATTAAAGATGATGCGCAGGGTTATGTCGAGATATTCTCCGAGAGCGATATTGTCCATTGTCGCCGGAAGACGCTCACCTCACCACATTACCCGCGGGGTAACGCAGATCTAAAGCGAAGAGCAATGCAGGGTGAGATTCGAAGAGAT